GTATCGCTGAAGTTCCTCGGGAAGAATTTTTACGGGAAATGATCAAACGAACAGAGACGTAACAGTATTTTAGTAAATTAGTTCTTTCGTTGGCTGGTTCTTTTATATTATCATATGAAAATAATTCAACGTCCAGCCCACGTAACGATAGAAAATTACATTATATCCTCTTTTAACGTTTCTACAAACTTGTACACTTCTGTAAGTTGCTGTAGGCCTACGTTACAAATTACGTTAACTGACATTAAACACATCAACTTACTTGTCAACTGATTCAAGCTCTATCTTGAAATAATTCTATCTACCACCTTCTTGATTATCTTTCAACTCACTCTGTAACTAACTTTTAACGACGCTTCTCGGAACGTAGTAATTATAATCTACATTGAAATGTGGTAGGACAAAAGTTGATGTTGAATCCTAAAACTTTCTAGGCGTTCTACGCTCGCTAGCCAATAAATTACAACATTAAAAATTTAGCTCACAACATCATGAAATTTCTGGTAACATCGTTTTATCTGGCTTTCTTAGTCGCACAAACACATATACTTCCCCACGTACAGATTAAACTGAGAAGCGGCCCACATGTTCTAGTTACTGGCCCTTCAGGAAGTAAGTACCCTTGTGAAGTGGGGCGTCTATGAAACTTCGCTCGTGCGGCAAATAAATACAAGGAAGTCAGTTATGCAACACATATAAACACACGTACAAATGTATGTCGTCCTTACTTTTACAAAACTCCTGGTTGAGTATATTACTTTCTCTGCTTGACTTACCTATTTTTAAATAATCACCTGGTTTTCTAACAGTACCCACGAGAAATTTCCCATATCGATCAGCACCACACACCTACAGAACAATGTAACACACGCACACAATGATAAATTTTTCTGATGGGCGTGGATATCGTTTTTAGAGTATTAATCTTGATACTTGGAAAACAATGGCGTGTAGATCTTAAGTCGACAAAACACGCATATTTCATAAAAGGTCACATACATCACAATGTCGGTGAGGGATAATATGTGAACTGTAGTACTAGCTTAAATCAACGGATAAAAAAATACGCTGTGTTTCTTATTTAAATAATATTGTGACATTATACAACAAACTAAAACAAATTCTTCTCATGTGAACTAGCTACTTAAGCCTAGACTACAAATGACTACTAATTATGTCCTATAATGAAGGGGGGGGGGTGTTAAATGTGAAAGCTTATTTGTTATTCATTCTAGCTACCCAAAAAGGGCCTTGTATCACGCATGGGCATCAATAGTGGAAACTACCAAACTCGTGAAGAATTCAAATAACACTAGTAAAGTTGGGTAGCTTTTTACCAATTTTTTTATTTGACTTATGAAACAATACATTCTTTATACCATTCACAAAAACGTGAAGTAGATATGAAATAAATAAGAAGGTAACAATTAAACCGACGTGTAATAACTACGTAACAATTAAGTTGATACGTAAGTCAGAATGCAACAATTAAGTCGGTGTGTGTAACAATTAAGTTGATACGTAAGTCAGAATGCAACAATTAATACGTAACGTTTAAAGTCAGAATGCAACAATTAAGTCGGTGTGTGTAACAATTAAGTTGATACGTAACGTTAAAGTCAGAATGCAACAGTTAAGTCGGTGTGTGTAACAATTAAGTTGATACGTAACGTTAAAGTCAGAATGCAACAGTTAAGTCGGTGTGTGTAACAATTAAGTTGATACGTAACGTTAAAGTCAGAATGCAATAATTAAGTCGGTGTGTGTAACAATTAAGTTGATACGTAAGTCAGAATGCAACAATTAAGTCGGTGATACGTAACGTTAAAGTCAGAATGCAATAATTAAGTCGGTGTGTGTAACAATTAAGTTGATACGTAA